TATTAGCGCTGCATACCGTACTGCTCAACACACACACGCATACTCACACACAAGGTAATTGTGCCCGAGACACCGCCGGAACTGCAGCCACAGACGGTTGACCAGCTGGATATGCAGCAGGAAGATGTGCTGCTCAACCACGATGATGTACGTGACGCCCTAGAATACAAACACTGTGTGCGTGAGCCATGCTCATAGGTTGTTGTTTGCTTCGGTGCTAGTCAGCCATACCACATGACGCTCCGCCCATGTACGACTGCTCATCTCAGCTTGCATGGAATGGCTGATGCCCAGATCACGGATCTTTGCAAGTCATACATTGGTCCGCCCCTGCACCGACTCTCCCCCATCCTCGGCGAGGACGACGACGATGACGACGACAAAGATGTGAATGACGAAGACGACGATGTAAACGAGCAAGAGGAGGACAACGGCGGGGACGAAGGCAGCAGCATGGGCGCAGCAGTGGCTCCGAATACACCTAGCAACGCTGATACACAGCAGAGGCGCGCCCCTCCACTGTACATGCTCGCAACATCATCAGTCACTGGACATTGGCTTGTGTTTGGTTCGTCGTGTCAGCCTTGCTCGCTGTGCGGAACTCGAACGAGGTTCTGCTGTGCATGCGCAACACACTTGCCTGTTTGTCTTCTGCACATTGTGGACCATGCCGACAGAGCCCGCTCCAAGTAAACGAGTCGAAACCGCACATAGCATCAAGCAGAAACAGCCATTGTGTCGACAAAAGAATCGTATATTTGCGCACACTGCTAAGCGTTTACGCTCACCTATAGGCGCTGCTACATCCTCCCACAGCGTTGGGACCCGTGCTGGCGCTGGCCTGCCTCCCACATCAAGCATAGGCGCAGTCTGCTGCTTTGGCCGCAGCAAGCCCCATAGCCATTTCAAGCCCGGCCAAAAAACTGAATTCAGTTTTTCACAACCACGCACAACAACAACAACAACAACAACAACAACAGACGCGCAGCAAGCAACAACAGACGCACACACGCACCAGCAGCAGCACGGTCATCCCACTGCAACCATGGAGCCAACGCGCCCTGTGACACGAGCTCAACGACGACGGTACGTGTGTGTGTGTGTGTGTCTGTGTCTGTGCATGTGCATGTGCATGTGTGTTTGGTTCTGCTCACGACGTTCTTTGTCTTGCGTTTTGGTCGTTGCTGACAGTGAGACTGACGGAAGTCCATCCTCCTCCAGCGCGTCGTCACAGTATGCAGCTGTTTCTGTGTGTGTGTGTGTGTGTGTGTGTGTGTGTGTGTCTGTGTGTCTGTGTGTCTGTGTGTCTGTGTGCGTGTCTGTGTGTGCGTGTTTGTGTGTGTGTCTGCTCGTTGGTCTTCATGCGTGTTTGCTCTCCTCTGTACGATGTGTTGTCTGCAGGGAGAGCGATACTGTGGTTGGAACATCCGTTGGAACCTCCTCGGCCATGACTGCCAACACCCTGAGGTGCGATTGTGTGTGTGTGTGTGTGTGTCTGTGTGTGTGTGTCTGTGTGTGTGTGTGTGTGTCTGTGTGTGTGTGTCTGTGTGTCTGTGTCTGTGTCTGTG